TAGTTTTTGGAATCCGGTTAGCGTTAAACTGCAAGTCATCATTCTCATATATATATATATATATATATATTTTGATCAGCAAAATGAATTTATTAATATTGGAGTACAAGGGGTACTCCTGCCCATTACACATAAGAAACATCTGCCAGCATGATAGAATGACAAAATATAAAATCATCCACCACCAGCTGCAGAGCAATTAGCAACTCAACAAGCCCTATACATGTTCAGGGTAACTAATTCATCATGCATATAACAACTGTGCTTACTTTTGCCTCACATTGAGGAGAAGAGCCACGTACCTCTCCAGACTTTAAGTTGTTCCCATTCCTTTCTGCTGTTTATGGAACAATTTCTGCATTTGTTTATATTTTCTGATTGATAGAGCACATTCAACTGGTTTTAACTTCCATTCATGGAATGAAAAGACACACCCATGAATCTTATTCTTAATCCAGAAAAATGATTTGGCTTGGACCATCTCCATTAATCTTCCTCTAATGTTATTTCCATTGTTAAACACTTCACCATTTCTCCAATACCATAAATACCATGCAGCCACAAGGAAGATATAAGCACCCATCTCCTTCCCTATTATCCTACCCAAATCATTTACAAAAATGTCTGCCGCACTTAGCACGTTATTAGGCATAACAGTCACCATGCCCCACCACTGCAGCACCTCAACCCAAAAAATCCATACTTCCTTACACATACTAAACAAGTGATTAACTTCCTCCACCTTGTCCTTACATAAAGCACATTTTAATTCCTCTTCCTGCAAAGGTACTCCTCGCTTCCTAATATTCCATTTAGTTGGAAGTCTATCAAGGCTCAATCTCCACCCAAAGAAAGACACTTTAGAGGGTACTAATTTACACCAAATTAACTTACTCCATTGCTTGTCTAGAACACACTCTATTGGGGCTAAAAAATCGTAAGCATTCTTCACCCCGTATCTGCCCTCCGAATCATGAGTCCACCTCCATCCATCTTCCGCTCTCTTCTTTAATTGTAGCCTCTCCAATCCTTCCCTTAATTTCTCCTCCTCATCCTTTTCTTTGCCTATTCTCTCTCTCCTCCATTCCATTTTCCAGCGCCATTTATCTTCCTCCCATACCCCCATATCACTAATCTTACACTCCTTGTTCGTTGACAATTCGTACAATCTTGGGTATAAAACCCTTAAAGTTTTATTCCCTACCCATGGTTCATTCCAAAAGCTCACTCGATTCCCTTCCCCTACTTCCCACTTAAACCGCTCCACCAACATCTTTCTAAGATTCATAGAACTCCCCCCTATCTTAATAATATCCCTCCATATTGTAGACATCCTCTAGATCCCGAATGCTGTAATGTCCACCTCCTCCCACTTGCCTCCATAATATTTCTCCTTAACTATCCGTTTCCATAAGCTCTCTACACCATCCCCAAACCTAGACCACCACTTTCCTAAGAGAGCCCAGTTTTTCCTACGTAAGTTTGACACCCCCAATCCCCCTTTTAGTTTACTATAGCATACATATTCCCATTTCACCCAAGAGATATTTTTTTGTGACTCAACCCCTCCCCATAAAAAGGTTCTCTGTATACTAATCAATTCAGCAAGCACAGAATTTGGAATTAAAAACAGTGACATATAAAAAATAGGTAAAGCAGAAAGTACCGAGTTGAGCAGAGTGAGGCGGCCACCAAAGGATAACGAAGCAGCTTTCCAGACAGCGAGTTTGGCTCGGAATTTATTTATCAGTGGCTCCCATAACTTCTTTCTCCCAGGATTTCCATCAACGGGCAATCCCAAATAAATGAAAGGAGATTTCCCAACACCACAACGTAACATGCCGGCTGATCCTTCTACCCAACTTACTGGCACATTGTAGCCATAAATGTTGCTCTTACTGAAATTAATTCGTAAACCAGACATCAGTTCGAACCATCGCAGGATTGTTTTAACCATAAAAACATTCTCTTTGTCAGCTTTTCCCATAATAATTGTGTCATCTGCGAATTGAAGTAAAGAACACTCTAACCCCCTCCTGCCAATTTCTACACCTCGAAACAGCCCCTCTGTCACTGCTTTTTGCACCAATCCATTTAAACCCTCCTCAATCATCAAGAATAAAAACGGAGATAATGGATCACCTTGTCGTAATCCTTTTTCAACCTTGAACTCCTCCGTCGGGCTGCCATTAATTAGAACTGAAATTCTAGAAGTTGATAAGCATTCCATGATCCACCTTCTCCACTTGGTTCCGAAACCCATTCTATCCATCATCCATTCCAAGAATGACCAATTCACACAGTCATATGCCTTCGCAAAATCAGCTTTAAAAACAAAAGCCTGCTGTTTCTTTCTTTTTACTTCCTCTACCACTTCATTCAACACCAAAACCCCATCAGCTAACTGACGCCCTCCCAAAAAAGCAGATTGATTTTCACTAATAATCCCCGACAGCACAGATTTAAGTCTATTAGCCAACACCTTTGCTAACAGTTTATACACACATCCAATTAAGCTAATGGGTCTATAATCCTTTAATTCCACCGAATTAAATTTCTTGGGGATTAAAGTTAGGAAGGATGAATTCAGCCCACTAACCAATTTACCATTCTGATTAAATTCAGAAAAAAAGCTCATAAAATCTTCCTTTAAATTATTCCATGCAAATTTAAGGAAGGTAAAGTTGTACCCGTCTGGGCCTGGAGCTTTTGAGCCTTCACAACTTCGTAATGCTTCCTCAATTTCTTCGGTGGAGAATGGTCGTTCAAGCCATTGATTTTCCTCTGTGGAAATTTGCTTGAAATTAACCCCATACAGCTTTGGTCTACTCCACTTGTCTTCTTGAAATAGCTTGCTAAAATAATTCCTCGCCTCCTTCTTTACCTGTGTTGGTTCTTCCACCCAGCTTCCATCACACATTAATCCTGTGATATGATTTTGGGCCTTTCTGCCATTTGCAACTCTATGAAAGAATCGCGTGTTTGCATCTCCCACACGTACCCAATTGCTTCTTGACTTCTGTTTCCATATCACTTCTCTCTTCCTCATTATGTCCCACATTTTCTGAAATCCTTCTTGTCTCTGCAGAATTTCAAATTCCTCCAGATCAATCTCCTCATTCTTCATATCAACCTGCTCAATCTGTTTAACAGCCTGTTCATATTGAGCTTCCATGTCTCCAAAAACGTCTCAGTTCCATCCCTTTAAAAACACTTTTAACCCCTTTAACTTCTGTTTGCATTTGTACCCTGCAAACTATATATATTACCATATATAACAACCCATTAAGCCAAAAGTCTTTTACTGTGCTAATTACATAGTAAAG